AGCAGTTTGAGAATATCCGCTGATTTTGTGTTGCATCTTTGTATGATTTAGTGAAAATAATTAAGTAATTAACTCCTAATCAATTCAAATAAAGTAGAATTGTGGGTCATTTTTTTCTCTCTTTCTCGGCCTAAAACGTTTTTTTTTTATAAAGATGTAAATATAATCATGGAACGAACGAGTTTATAAACAATTACAAAAGATTGTTTTATACTAGACTAGACAAATTATCTTTGTAAAACAAAATAGAGAAAACAAGATGAATCCTTAATAAAATTAGATGAGGAATTATCAAGCCAAAATTGCATAAGATCTCTAAAAGATCGTTCCTTACATTGCTTTGATCATATCACAGATGGAGGATCGACTTTCCTCATCGATTTCTGGGAGGAAGAAATGCTAGATGTGAATTTTTTTTCTTTTTTTTTAACGAATGTTTTAAAAAAATACCTATGTGAGATAAAACACTCCAACCTACTTACATATGTTTAAAGTATTTACTATTAGAACGTGAAACATAAAATGTTAGAGAATTATTTTTCAACTTGGCAAACATATCTTTTTCCAATATTAATTCGCTTGCGGACTCACGCGCGATTTGGTAATCTGAACTATGATATGTACGTGAAAAGTGCAACATCATTAATCAACTTGAATTCAAGTTTGAGCGAAGAACTTGAATTCAATGGCCACAAGATTACTAGCGAAGAACAACTAGATGTTTCTTCTAAGGAACGTGTCAAAGAGATTTTCGACGAAGAGTAAGATTGTGGTCACAACCGAACAATCATCCAATGCAAAACTTTGGCAACGGCTAAGGAGGATGCAGTTGCAAATGTTGTATCAAAAACAACGGCTAAGGAAGATGCAGTTGCAAATGCTGTATCAAAAGCAACGGCTCTTGGAGTTGATTTAGAAGGGATTGCTCTCATATTAGCGTTCAATACTCTGGTTTCCAAGCTTGTTGTGAGATTCCAACCCGAAGAGAAGTTTGTGGCATTTGGGAATGCTCTTATGGCTCTTGAAAATAAGGCAGCCTCCGCGATCATCGGTCGGTCCTTGAAGACTGAACCAGTCAATCACACGATGGAAGTCGTTATCCAGTGGCTTTCCTTCCGCGTCCTGATTGTCTTTAGTACATTCGTCACCTTCGGATTTGACTCGACCTGGCTTGCTTCACACGTCAAAGCGATTTGGCTTTTCTGCGCCAAATTCGTTGTGGCCTATCTCCCGGATTGGTCACCGCTGGATCTCAAGGAGCTAGCTCTTGATGAGCTCAAGGGACTCAAAGAGCTGCTCAAGCTGCTTAAAGACTGAGCTCAAGGAGCTCTTCTCCCGGTCCAGAACATATCTCTCTCCCACTTTATCTTGTCTATCTGTCTTTGTATTAGTTTATTATTGTAATGGTGATGATGATTTCCACCACTAATGAATCTATATCTAGTAATTAATTAAAGGGAGGAAGATCAACTTGTTTGCTACTCTTCGATCTGACTACACCAATCTCAAGGCTCTTGAAATCTTTGTTTTTCTCTTATACTTGCTTTTTACTCTTTCTATCTACAACAAATCTAATCTCAAGGCTGTAATGTTTGTTTGAACACATCGTTTCAAAACATCTTCTTTCTATTCAAACTTAGCAAAATAAACCACAAAGTTAATCCCAACAATAACAAAGAGTGGAATCGGGATCAGTTCCTTTACAACGACAAGATTTTGGCTCGAGCTTTATTGCGATGGTAGCCAGTCAAGGATACAACTTGTGATGATGTTATGAAGGTGTGATTTTGCTTGTGTTATCCCCGAGCTCACGCACTAAGCTCAATTCCACACAACCATCAAAACTCTGAGATTCTTTCTCTCTAATTCTATCGCGAATGTTTGGGGAGAACATCCATTTGCTAACTTACAACCGAGGACTCCAGACAAATTTGAAGCCGGTTATCGCATCAACAGAGACTCGAGCTTAGGCCAAACCCAGCAAGATTAAGATCCTTGATTTGTTTCATCGTCGAAGATAGACACTCTCTCTGGCTAATTACCTTTGCTTAGCTGAAAACCTGCAATTTTTAATGATAGATCATCAATTTGCAGTTTTGCGAGGACTAGGAAGAACATGGTATTGCGTCTCAAGCAATCTTTAGCATTTCAAACCGAAAGATATCTACCGAAACATAGAGCATACACTTTTCGATCCACTGCGTAAAATAAAGTTCAACCTCTAGGTGATTCACATAGATTACAAATATGCACAGGGCTACAGAAAACCGTCTCTCTCTAGTCTGTCTAAACTAGCTTGATGACCTTTCTCAAATTATCCAAGTAATCATTACATTACCAAATCCGTTCTTTGATAATTGGTTATTTCTTTTGTCAAAATCGAATAATTTTGCAGACTCCTTTGATTACATTACCAATCCGTTTTTGCTCCTTATATATCACCAAACTGCATTTGAGCAGAGACCCTCTAGTTTCGAAA